ACATCCAACAAGTTTCTCCTCATGTTTTTGTGTACCCTCCTGTGCTCCAGGTTGCACCCGTTGCCCCTTGTCCTGTCACTGGACATCACTCACCTCATTAAAAAGGAGCTCCCGGCGCTGCTGCTTTCTCAGATCCATCATTTTCACGGCCACCTGCCGCCCCGAGTGCTTCTCTCGAGCGATACAGACGATACCCGTGGACCCTTCGCCGATCTTCACGTAATTCTCCAGCAACGTCCGGGGATCCCCCTGGTCCACGACCATCCTCAGGGCAGCTTTGAACTGCTCGTGAGTCACAACCACCGGGTCCTCGCCGGCCACCTGCCCTTTCGCAGAGGAGTCCTGGGGAAGGTGAAGGTTGCTCGAACTGGTCTGAGTCTGACGGTTCCGGGGGGACCCCGCCGGTGACGGTCTCCCTTGCGGCACAGCCACCGCCTTCTCCGTTGTTGGAGACTTCTGGGGGGTCCCAGCGTCCGAGATCGTCCTGGGGAAATCGGATGCAGGCTGGTCTGGTGGAAGAGACTGGGCTTTGGCCGCAGGGCTGCGCGGGGAACCCCACTGCTGGGGCCTGAAGAAAGCGTTGGGCTTCGGAATACGAAAGCAGGACAAAGAAAAGGTGGTGGTTAGGCTAACGAGCAGAAAGAAGCCTCAGGAACTGGTGGTCTTTTACGACTCTATGAATCAGTTGTGTCAGTCCACTCCGGCCTCGTGCATTTTGCAGCAGAGCGGAGTCAAGAGCTCTGGGTTCTTTTCTCCAGCTCTGCTGCACGACGAGGGGAAGCCACGCGGGTGGGCATTATCAGGAACCAGCTCTAGGCTGGGGAGCTGTGCTTTAAGGGCCTCCAGATCGAGGGCCTGGTAAAGCACATGCTTTAAAGAAAACACCAAACCCCCAAAACCACACAAAAGGACCAGCTGTTAGAAACCATTCCAACCTCACCACCAAAACTCGGGGGCAACCTGTGCTGCAGAGAATCTGAAAACCCTTCATCCCTCTGCGCCTCTGATCTTCCTATATATGAAAGGAAAGAGGATTCGTGCCAAAGCTGTAAATCACTTTGATGTCTTGGCTTAATTCCCTTTGGGCAATTATGCTCTGCCTACTGAAAACTCTCTCTGCACTTTCGGCGGGTGCCTGCGGAGCGTTCCTGCCCATCAGACACGGAATTAACTCTGGTTTGGGAAAAGCACCACGGGCCAGGATGGCTGCTGGTGGCCAGCGCGAGACTTCAGCCAGGCAGAGCCATCCTAGCGGCTCAGACCAGACCTGCAACGAATTGGGATCAGCAGCCTCTTCCCCAGATCACTCGAGGCTTTTGGAGAGCTCCCACTCGAGCCCCAAGCTGGCCCAACCCTGAGCACTTTGTGAGATGGAGTAAGATCACCGCCCGCGGTAACGTGGCTTCAGGACACGCATTCCTGTGCACACAGCTCTCCTAAAAAAGGATAAATCCTGAAGTGCTAGTATTCACCCTGGAAATGCTGACAAAAATTCAACACCGTCTTAGCAGGTTAGGCATAAAATATGTTAGAAGCTTACCTATATGTTAAATGATGCCCGGTCTGACAAAGCAGAGGCTTCAGAAAGAACAAGCCAGTCACTTATGTTATAGGCAAAACAAAAAACAACTTCAAAGCAACAAGCTTCTTTTCTTCTCACCATTCAGACAGATTATTAGTAAAGCTAACAATACGGGTACGGGAACCAAGAACTGCCAGTAGAGAATGTTTCTGAAGAGCCTTCATTTTCTCCGTCTCAGACGGAAAATAAGCGTATGGGATTTAATTCTATGCACTTTGGGTTTTAATCAAGGATTTTTTGTCAACAGTAAAATCTGCCTAAGCCTCGCACACACATGGCTCATTTGCAGGCGCAGGGGCCCTGGAAGGACGATGGAGCAGCTCCTGCTGCCGGGGAACGCAAACCGCCTGTCAGAAGTTACTTCCTCCTCATTTTCCAGCTCCACCCCTGCAATCCTGTACAGGCATGCTCATGGCAACGAAATATTTATTTCCCAATTCTTGTTTTGTCTCAGCTGAGAGGAGGCAAAAAAAAAATAAAAATAAGCTTTATATAACCTAGAGCACCCAGAAGGGCACACAACGTGCGTGCAAGCTCCCACATGTTCGTGTAACCACACGTAAGGACTATTTCCTGCTCCTGTGATTTGACAGCCCCTGTATACACATTTTCAGTCTCTGGACATTTTGAGATGTGCCTGGTTCTCCCACTTGGGAAAATCCATGTTAGGTCAAAAGGAGGGAGCACTTGACCTTCCCGTGGTGACGTGTCAAGGCACCCACCTCCCCGCTTCCAGCCACTTATATCCCCGTTCCCTTCTGTCTGCAGAAATGCGTTTCTTACACAGCTGCACGCCAGCACCTCCATTTGCGAGGGAGACCGGGATTTTCGTTGATGTTAAGAACATCTTAGATAAACAGCGGCCACCGATGGCACTGGCCCTTCACCAGAGCAGGGAGATCACAGAGTCACTCAGGCTGGAAAAGCCCCCTGGGATCACTGAATCCAACCACTGACCCTACTCTGCAAAGCTCACCCCTAACCCATCTCCCCCGGCATCACATCTGCGATGGACTAGACAACCTCAGGGTCTTTTGTCCTCCTCTCACAAGCAGCTCGGGTTCAAACACACCAGCACACCCCTGCACACGCCGTCTGAGCGGGAATCTCTGCGCCTCCTCATGAAAGTGCGGAGGCCCGGCAAAGGCACCCGTGCTCCAAAGACAGAATCGTTCTTCCACAGCCTCCAGCCTCAAGTCAGAGACAGCAATAAGTGGAGTTTGTGCTACCCATGAACTGCATTCCTTTAAAACCCCATTCCCTGGGAAGGGGAATCTGCGAGGCGAAGGCTGCTCTGAAAGCCTCAGCCGCATCCTTATGCAAACTCCGAGGAGCCCCACCCTGCAATAGCCTTTACAGCAGTCGGTTTGGTCGGGCCAGTGGTTCCTGCAGCCTTCCCTGCCAGCTCAGGGACTCCACGCCTGCAAACCCATGAACTGCATTCCTTTAAAACCCCATTCCCTGGGAAGGGGAATCTGCGAGGCGAAGGCTGCTCTGAAAGCCTCAGCCGCATCCTTATGCAAACTCCGAGGAGCCCCACCCTGCAATAGCCTTTACAGCAGTCGGTTTGGTCGGGCCAGTGGTTCCTGCAGCCTTCCCTGCCAGCTCAGGGACTCCACGCCTGCAAGAAATTACCTTGGCCTCACACCAGCCCGGCGTAGCCTCAGAAACCACCCAGCAGCCGTGGAGGGACGATTCGTGCTGGCTTAGCCTGGGATGCATTAGGAGCAGTGGCCCAAAGCGTTGCATTTCCTACCCAGTAACTGGAACCAGAGTTTTTTGCCTCGTTATACTGAGCCATTCATTCAGGGTAGCTGTCCTGGGGGAGAGGCAGCCACAGGCTGTCCCATGCCCACCAAACCCCAGCAGGCAGACGCCCTGTTTGCCGCGGTGCCGATGGGAAGGTTGCTGTTGTAGGCAGGCTGGCAGATGCCGCTACGGCCAACAAGCTCTCCTGATGTGGTTCTGTCTTGCACAGGCAAAAAGAATACTTTACTAATGTGAATTATGGCAATTTCCCAAATGGCAAAAGCACATTTATGCTAGCGCAACGGCATTTAGGTTATGCCTTTTCTACTATGGAAGGGCAAAAATGGGCAAGTGCCTCCTTCCCAGCCTCACACTAAGGAGCCTTTCCCAGGTGGATCTGGCTGCCCTCCCGAGCTGTGCCCAGCAGTGTGTTCTGTAAGGCTCAGCGGGACTACACATCTTCCCTCGTCCAGGACAATTTTGACTGCGTGAGATGACTGCGTGACGTTCACAATTAAAATCATTCGGCTGCATGAAGGAGCCCCCAGAACTGCAAAGTCGAGGTTGCGCTTGCTCAAACATTCGGAATACCCGTACCTTTATCTGCAGGGAAGGGCCGGACTTGTTGGAGGCGCTGGACGCGGGGAACACGCTGCGCAGCAGCCTCCTCTTCAGGCTGTTCTCCCTCGATTTGGAGCTGGGGCTGCCCTCCCCCGTGGGCCTGGAGTTGGCTGCTCGGACGAGGCAAGGCTGAGGCCAGCACTCCTCCGAGCTCTTTCTGCCCGTCTTCTCGCCGTCCCCTGGTAGAGCTGGCAGCGCCGAGGAACGCTGGAGGCAGCTGCCATCAGCGCCCTGGAACTCGGAGGGCCCGAGGGACTGAGCTTTGGTGACCATGCCGTTGGGGTGAGACTGTCCTTCCAGGCGGGGTTTGTAATCCGGCCACATCGTCTGCCTCCGCGTCACCTTGGCACCACCGTTGCAGTTGAGGTAGTTTCCATATCTGTCTGCCCAGTCTGCTTCAGGACTCTGGAGATACATGTCCGGGGGTCTGTCTTCTCCCAGGAGCCCGAGGGACTGAGCTCTCCTCCTGCTTGTGGGGCTCCTTCCCCGCAGGGTGTTGGAGCTGATGGCAGAAAGCTTCTGGATGTCGTTGAGGATGCCGGAGATGTAGCCTTCCACTTCCACCGTGCTGCCCCTCACCACCGTCTGTGAAACATGGGGGGGGAAAAAAAAATCAAGAGCTGTGAAAAACGAGGCTCAGTTTATTTTGACAAGGGTCAGATTTTGCTTGTCTGGCCAAAGACGACCCAATGACTTTTAGGAAAAAAAGAGATATTTTTCTTTCTGTCTTTTTTTCATTGTCCTTTACTGAGGGGGGACAGAAACAGGCATCGCTGAGTCACCTCCTCCTGCCAGAGGGAGCAGCGCTTTCAGCCGTGATGGTGAGTTCTGCAATCTAGAGGGCAACACTAGAGAAAAACTGGGATGGTTTTAGCACTCCTGACTCTCTCGTGCTGAAATGTATTTGCGCTACATCGTGCTGAAATGTAGTTGCGCTACATCACTGACTTAGCCTCAGCAAGCTCCCAAGAATATTAGTTCTCAGAAGAAGTTACAGCCTGCTGCAAAAACCACCTTGCCATTCCATCGCAAGGTTCATCTCACCCCCGTGGCACTCTGTCATAATCAGCCTCCCTTAGTCTGGGTTTTGCTAATACATTGTAATCCTGACCAGTGAAGACCACACTGTTCCAGCTCCGCATCCTTCCTCTGTTCTGCCAAGCTATTATAATTAAAAGTTATGAACAAAGGGTCACAACAGCTCACAACTGCCTTGTAAGCAAACGATGAAGAACAAGGCTCCCATCCAGACAAGCAATGTCACTGCACAGGTCGCACACTCGAAGCAGTTGGTGTATTATGTAGGGCTCTACCTTGTTTATGCTGGAATTGAAAAGCTTGCAGAAGCTTTTTAGTGCCGGGAACCAAAACGTTTCATTTCTTTGCAGAAATTCACAGCACGGAGTCACTCCTACACTGTCATGAATCTCTGCCTGAGGAAAGTCCCTCCCTGGAGTGATGGCAATCTCCTGTTTGCTAACCGAACTCCAGGGATCTTCTAAAGATGCTGAATTAATTACACTGAGCCTAATATTTAGCTGGTGCAAAACAGCAGCTCCAGTAATTTCAAGAGAATGCCACCACGGCGCACAAAATGAGCGCCCGGTTTGCTCAGTGTCTGAGAATGAAAGGCAGAAGCGAAGGTTTTGTCGAGCAAGGTGAAGAAAGGACAATCTGACTCATCCCACGGTGTATGCAGCGTCACCTGCAGCGGGAAATTCTGCTCTCGAGTCCTGTTGTAGGAACACGCATCCCTCACCGCGTCCCTGCACCCTCCCCCAGCCGTCGTTGGGTGAGCGGCACGTGGAGCTCCTCACAAACCATCCCCAGCGCTTTCGTAACAAATTAGATACAGGGGAAAAAAAAACCACCAAAAGTAAACGGTCAGAAACCAGCCAGAAACCAGCTCAGAAACCAGCCCTCCAATGCTCAGTGATGGTTCGGTGTTTCTGCAAACTGGGAGGAAGAATAACTCAAAGTTGGAAGGAATCTCAAGAGGCTGGCTTGGCCAGAGTAGATGGACAAGAGTCCAGAAAGACTTCAGTCTAGCGTGTACTCAAAATAAGTCTCCAAGAGCAGGTGCTGTGACCCCTCTAGAAAATGCATTCCATCTCACCGCCTTGTTAAAAACTTCTAAAATCAGACTCCAGCCCCTCCTGGTGCACTTCTAGCCCATCACGTCCATCCTCTCCCCAGCGGGCAGAGAAGATGGGAATGAGCTGCACTCTGCAGCTGCGTTTAAAGGCTGCATCAAATTCATGAAGAAGCATCCAGATTTGAGCCAAATCTATACGGAGTGTCCTTACAAAGATTATAGCGTGCTGGCCAAAATTTAGAAACGATAATTTTAAAAAGAAAAGTGAGCCTTTACAGGCTTGTACATAGGAAAAAAAAAAAAAAAAAAAGGAAAAAACTATGGTAATCATAATAATTGTATCCAGGACTCCACATATAAGGGATTGGCCTAATAGGGCAATTAGCACTGGGGAGAAAAAAAAAATAAATCTTACTATTGATCGGTATAATCAAACAGGAATTAGTTCAAATGGAGTTTACCAGAAATAATCAACTACGTGATACAGTCTAAGAGAGTCTATTTGCATTTGAACTTACTCAGGCAAAAAAACCAACAACACTGTACTAAGATTCTCCTCTAGTTTTTAAAGACTGCTGGGTATTCTGTCCTTGTTCTCTTAAAGATTTGCACCTCCCTTCAGCTTTTGCCATCTAGAAGCTTAGTAAGTCCCACATGAAAGCACCCACCAGTATTAGACTCAGGACAAACTCCAGTAAATCCCTTCACGCCCATTTCCATCTTGACAGGGACGCCTCACACATCCTTTTGAGGATGCTTCTTCCTAATACTTGAGAAAACCTGCTGGGTTTGCTCCGGGAATGCCGGAGCAATTTGTGTCAGGAGCCCGACTGAAGTCAAGGTGTAGGAGAGCGCTCTCGCTTCTCGCCGGCCCCAAACCCGATCCCCTGTGACTGACAGAAGTCGGGTTGCTCGATATGATTTGTTCTGGAGAAATCTGTGCTGGCTGCTGGCTCTCACCCTGCTATCTCCTAGGAAGTGGCTGCAAATAGATTACTTGCTGATTTGTTCCAGTCTCTTTCTGGGAATTGAAATTCTTCTGACTGATCTGTGATTCCTTGAATTTCATTAGGCCCCGCTGACTTGAAAATATGTAACTTATCTGAGACGTCTCGTTTCTGTTCTTTTCTTATTCTGTGTTCTCATCCCAACACGCTCGTTTTAATTGTGCTAGCCCACCGATCACAGTTAACCGCAGACTGAAAAAAAATCATTAAACATTTAAGAATTCTCAGTGTCATCTGTTATTAACTTTTTTTCCCAACATGAGCAGCAAACAAATTCTTTCCTTCATCCTCCTTCTCCTCCTCAGCGTACTTACGATGTTTCCTTCGTGCCCTTTATGTTCTTTGAGAATAACATCTCCTTTTGTGCCTTGGCCTTCCAGTTCTGTTCCTACATAAATTTCTTTTCTATTTGCCCTTTATAACTTGACCTAGTTTCCACCCTTCTGAGCAATCCTCCTGCAGTTTAAGCTCATTAGAGAGCTCCTGATCTAACCAAGTTGGTCTCTTATTACACATTGTATCTCTCCTCTGGATTGTGGTCCCGTCTCCTACTACATTTTGAACCTCAAAGCACATTCAGGACACCGTACAACAGAAGGCAACACCTCCTCCTTCCTTCTTTATCTGTTCTTCCCGAGCAAGATTTCCCTTTCTGAATCAGCATTCTGCTCAAGGATCCTGACGTGCCACTCAAATTACGAGTTTGGTTCTGCGTTAATGCTTGCGTGATGCTCAGATGTTGTCCCTGCGTTTTAAGCATCTGTACACAAAAAGCTAAATACACCCATCAGAGAGACAACTATTTTCTTTCACCTAAAGTCCAGGTAGTAACATCTCTGTTTTACAGCATCGCAGAATCGTTGAGGCTGGCAAAGCCCTCTGAGATCATCAAGCCCAGCCTATGACCCAACACCCCCACATGGGCCAGACCAGGGCACCAAGTACAACAAACCTTTCCGTTTTGAGGCCCCTGTAGGGATTTTGGTTTTAGACTGGGAACAAAAACTCCCCATGAGCCAGCAAGACTTTGAACGCAGTAACTCCGTCACCATCTTTCCTTTTCCAAGAGCTTGTTGTGAACGTGCCTCTTGTCCCACAGCAGGTCACTTGGGAGCTCCAGATGCCATCGTCGACAGCCATCCACCCCTCCACATTCACCCATCCACAAGGATCCGAAACCTGTTTCTTTTTACCAAAGGACTTGCTTTAAGGCTATTCTGCTGTTCGCTGTGTCCCATTTTCTGTTAAAATGCTGGTTTACAAACCCCAGTTTAGTCCTGCTCCCCGTTGTCTCTCCTTCACTTCCCTTTTTAAGAGGAGTCACATGGAAAAGACAAGGGGTAATGGGTACGAGTAGCTCCTGGGGAAATTCCAGCTGGCCTCCAGGGGAAAATTTTTCACTATGAGAGCAACTTGACATGGGAATAGTCTTCCAAGAGAAGTGGTGGATTCCCCAGCCTTAGACAGTTTTAAGGCTCAGCTTGGCAGGGTGCTGGGCCAGCTCATTTCAACTGTATTTCTTTACCTTAAAGGATTGGACTAGATGATCGTTGAGGATCCCAACACAGTGGTCTGTGATTCACCTCGCCACCCACGAGCAGTGAGCTAGAGTGCCCCGCTCCCTCCCGCTCGGGCTTCCCTGTCAACTTAATTACCAGCCAAATTTGCTCACCCACGAGAACGACAAACTTGCTAAAACAGTCCCCCCTGTGAATTCTCCTCTTCGCTTCCCTGCACAACAGCTGAACACATCCCAGGCCCTGTCGGCTGCCACGGGAGCTTTCGCAGGTCCTTGGTGTTGGTGACAGGCAGCCAGCTGGTTATCGGAGCGGCGACACTACCGCGGTGACGGATACTACTGTCCTCGTTTCTGATGAGCTTACTATCATGGAGTCATAGGATCACAGAATCCTTCAGGTTGGAAAAGCCCCCTGGGACCATCGAGTCCAACCACTGACCCTACTCTACAAAGCTCACCCCTAACCCATCTCCCCCAGCACCACATCCCAACGGCCTTTAAACACCTCCAGAGATGGGGACTCAACCCCCTCCCTGGGCAGCCTGTGCCAATCTCTGACTGCTCTTGCTGGGAAAAAATTTCTCCTAATGCTGAGTCTAACCCTTCCCTGTTGCAGTGTGAAGCCATTCCCTCTTGTTCTGTCACCAATCACCTGTGAGAAGAGACCAGTCCCAACCTCTCCACACCATCCTGTCAGGTAAACCAGTGCTATCAAAGCCCAGACCCTGCTATCCACTGGATTCCTTTCGGACACCACCCTCAGCCCCTTTTAAAGACATATGGGGCAATGGTAACCTTGCCTCAACTTGGATGTCACCGAGGAACAGGAAAGCCCAGGGAACAGGACAGAGTAGTCTTCCTCTCTTACCTTCATAGGCTGGAGTTGCATCCTCGTGATCCTCGAAGGGTCTACCACCGGCTTGGGGCGCCTCAGCGTGTCTAAAATGTTCTGCCATTGCGGCGGCAGGCCCACAAATTTGCCCTCCTTTGGGTCAAATGAAGTGTGGACACGGTGCTCGAAGTTCTGCGGAGCCGAGATCTCCGGGCGTTTCTTCTTCTTCTTGCGGAACATGACGCCTGGAGCAGAGAAGACAGCGCCGTCAGCCCTCTTGCACGTCGAGATCCAACATGCCCAATCACGCATCAATTACACCAGTTAATTGCGTTGTATTAAGAACATTCTCCAGTGACAAGCACCTTGACAACAGAGTTGATCATCTGCGTTTTAAGATGAGAAAATAGAGGCAACAAGAGAGCAACCACTTGCTCAAGCAGTGGCTGAGCTTGGATTTCTAGTGACCTTTGTAGGGCTCTGCCCACTGTGAAGCAATGCTCCTATTTCGGAAGAGAAACAGGCACCTGTTATTGCCATGGTTGAACTCCTACCACTTGGCTTCCTCTCCTTCTACAAATTCATCTTGCCTGATATCAACATTTTAAATATACATGAGATACATATTTATATTTTACAGGGTTTGCAAACCTAGGTTAAATGACTTTGGAGTGTGGCCAGTTAGACAGTGTGGATTCCACTACGAGCCTGGAATTAAGGGTTGTTATAAAGAGGGCTCGGGTTGTCTTCTCACTGGTTCCTCCAAGGAACTCTTATACATTCGATTCCCATTTAAAGACAACAGAGTTGTTGCCAGAGGAAAATCTGCCCAAGACTGATTTTGGATCTCAGTTTTTCTAGCTTAGACAGAGGGCTTGGGAGAGAGAGAGGAGGTAGTAGGTGGAAATCAAATTCTGTCAGCAGGTAGGTGAAGAAGCTAAAATTAAAACCTCAGACTCCTTTCCCTTGGGGGCTAAGAGAGACAGTTTGTGTGAAGAGCCGTTGCAATTGCAACACGCCAAAAGCAGCTAACACTTAAATATACCCCAGCACAAGAGACACGCAGAATCTGAACTTAGACTTTATAGCCAAAAAGAAAGTGATAGAGATGGACAGAAGCTGAAAGTTTTAGACCTTTTTGAAATTGGGAAGGTAGGAAGAACCAGAGCTCGGCGCGCAGTCACAGAGGTGGGAAGGCTTCAGTAACTGCGATGGAAGGAACATCTTCACACGAGACACCCAGGGAAGATGGGGTGAGGGGAAGTTAGTCTTGCCATGAAGCAGCAGCTCAGAGGTAGGGAAATTTTCTGTGGAGAGGCTGGCTTTGTATGATGGAGGGTGGTAGGAGTCTGAGAGATGACGGGTGTAAATCGAAGCAAGAAAGGTCCTGGCTCTGGATAGAAGGAAAATCTTTCTCGTGACCAGAAAAGTCCAGCACTGGAGTAGGTTGCCCAGACAGATGTGCAGTCTCCATCCTCAGAGGTTTTCAAGAGCAAGTTTGCTCTTGAAGACAAAGTCCTGGGCAACCTGGTCTGATGCTGAGAGAAGACCCTGCTTGGAGTGTGGGGTTGGACTCCAGGTCTCCCGAGAAGTCCCTTCTCCCCTGAATTGTTCTATGATTCTGCTGATTGGTTTGATGTCTTTAAAGTTACAAGCATTCCAAGTTACATTTTTAATGGGCAGATTACTGTTCTGTGGCTGCGATGGAACCGGCGTGCTCCAGAGCTCGTCATCCCCTCTCCAGGATGCTTTCTGGCAAAACAGGCAAAACAAAGACCCAGCGCCAAAACCCTTTAGGTCTCTAGCTTGGGAGAAAGATGTACAAGTTTCTTAAAAGTAAATTAACATCCATCCATAAAGAAAAAAAATGTTTATATGCTCTTTCCTTTCTCCTGACAACTTTAATATTAGCATTTGCCCCTGACTAACACTCCTTAAAGTGATGAATGCTACCTCCTCCTTGACAGGTAGAGGATTTTTGCCACTTAGTCTTCAGCCTTGTAGTGATGACTCTTCCCCTGCACAGGACCTCAGCTCCCAGCTATTTGTGTCAAATCAACATTTACAAGGGTCAGAGACACAGAACACACACAGAGATAACAGGCTGTGGTGTGGGCATGAGCACACCTCTAGAGGACACTGGTTTCGAAAATCAGCGTACCTCGGGCTATTTTCTCCCCCTTCAGTGAAATACAGGTCGAATATTTTCCAGGTTGTTCCACTTAAAACTTGTTTGGGGAGCAAAGTACAGTCACCAGGTGAACAACAACTTTGCTTCCTAGTGCTAGACTGAGGTCCTGAGCCACATATGCACACTGGCTCAAAATCTGGTTACCATGATCCTGTAGTCACCGGGATGGGGAGTGTTTTTATGTCGCAGGACCTTTACACCATTTCAGTCCCCAGTCATGCAATCCATCCTTGGTGAAAAACAGACTTCACACCCTGGCAATGCCCATTGCAGTGCTGCGGCCAAAAGCCTACTACAGATACCTCACAGTTGAAAAAGAAAGCAAAAGGTTAGGCAATCGAAAAAAAAACACGAAAAAAAACTTACAAAAGAGGCTGGAATCAACTGCCTAGAAGAGGTTTCACAGCCAGAATCATCTTTGCTTGGAATATGTTCCAATGAAAACACAAATACTCTTAATGGAGAGCTTACGGGAAGAGCG